TAAAGATATTTTGTCAGTAATTCAAAAACTACCTTTTCCCCATATTTGTCCAGATTATTTAAATACCTGGATGTTTGTATGAGCTTTCTGAATTGAATGTGGGGAATATAATTGGACATTAGTCCAGCTCAGAGATTACAAAGGCCTCATTAAAACAGTGGCTATGGGGCTGGGGATTTAGCTCAGCGACATAAGCGCCTACCTTGCAAGCAGGCAATCGTGAGTTCGATCCCTGGTACCGATAAAAAGGAAAAAGACAAAAAAAAAAAAAAAAAAAAAAAAAAAACCGTGGCCATAAGGGTAGGGATTTAGCTCAGCAGTACAGTGTTTGCCTGGCAAGTGTGAGGTCATGAGTTTGATCCCTCACACCAAAATAAATAAATAAATAAATAAACAAAAGACTGTAGGGTCTTAATTTTTAAATGTAGACAAAATTTCACTACTCAGATGCCCCTTACTGAAAATAAAATATAAAATAATGGCAACACAGGTTCAAAAGCTAGTATTGCATTCTTAAAGTATAAATTGATTTCTCATTCACATTAGTTTCTTTCTTTCTTTTCTTTCTTTCTTTCTTTCTTTCTTTCTTTCGATACGGTCTTGCCATGCAGTTCAGGTTGGCCTTGCTTACTTTGTAGCCTAGGCTGGTCTTGAACTCAAAATAATCCTTCCTCAGCCTCCAGAGTCCTGGGATTATAGATGTGTGCCACCAGGCTTCTGATTCACTTCTAATGGCCTGTCCTACTCAGAAAACAATTAATTTTTTAGAGTAGTGAGAATGACATGAGCATATGTTCCAACCTGACTTCTAATTTTATGAAATTACTGAGGCCAGGATTTAACTCAGCAGTGTAAGCACCTGCCTGGCAAATGCAAGGTCTTAAGGTTGATCCCCGGTACCCTCCGCAAAAAATTACCCTCCCCAAAATTTATCCTGATTTTTAGAGAAAAACTTATAAAAACTTCAAACCTGTAAAACAAATTTATTGGGCCTCTACTATAATCCAGATATTCTGCAAGCTATTTAGATATAACTGGATAAAACAGACCAAAACTGGATAAAACAGACCTACACTCATGGAGCTCACATTATCTTGGGAAAAGCAGAAAATAAACAGAATCAATAAGGAAAATATGTTACCTGGTGATAAGTGCTAAGGAGGCAGCTAGGCAGAGAAGGGCAAGGGGGCAGTTTTACACAGAGTTCAAGGGGAAGGCTTCATGGAGATGGAAATGATGTCTGGATGAGTTGAGGGAGAAAGCGTGAGAGGACAGAACAAGTGCAGAGGCTTAGAGGTGGCAGCCTCCTGGCATTTGAGGGCCATGAGGGACAACGATATTGTTGCTGTGAAAACAGTGAAAGGAAGGCAGAAAATGAGGCCCAAGAGATAACAAGGACTTTGGCTTTCGTGGTGAGGTAACAGGCCATCAGAGGTTCTTGAACAAGGACTATGATCTGACTTACGTTTTCACAGGCTCATTCTCACCGTTAGGTGAAGATAGAAATGTAATAGACTATTACAGTTAAAAGAGTAGAGATGATCGCAGCTTGGATCGTGGTGGCAAAGGTGGGAAAGCAGTGAGAGGAATCATTAGATTCTGGATATGTTTTGATTATTCAGCCTACAGAATTTGCAGGGGGAAATGAGAAAGAATGGCACTGAGACTGAGATTATTCCCCTGACAAACTAGAAGATAACTGTTATTAGATTTTATTGGTCCAGTTTAGTACACATAATGATCATATTCATCATACAGAATGTGTACCCTTCCACAGTGTAACTTGTTTTTCCCCACCCCCCTACTCTCCTTTAACCTCTTCCTCCTCATTTTCCTCCTGCCCATTTACAAAAGCTTTGTTTCCTTTTCTTTCTTTCTTTTTTAACTTTTCCCTTCTTCCCTTTCCTCCTCCCCTTATTTTGCTCTCCTCCACGTCTGAACATTTTCTTCCAATTTCACAATACCTATTTCACATTTTGGTCCTTATTTACATTTTCAGTTTCTCACACCAAAGAAACAATGCAGTATTTACATATCTAGTCTGATATATTTCACTCATTTGGACTCAAGATGTATCCATTTTCCTAGAAATGTCTCCAGCATGTCTAGAAGATATTTTTATTTACTAAGGTTGATGAAGACCAAGAGAAGAACACATTCTCTTTGACGTTTCCTCACTTGTAGACCACAGCACCCACATTAACAATATAAAGCATGTCTTACATGCATTTGAGATCAACTAATTGACTACTTTTTTGAAACTTTTTACTTTGATCCAAAAAAAATAAATGTTACCCCTTGACCCAGCACACACATAGGTACATACATCTACACACTCATGCATGCACACATATCAATGAAATGAATATTTTATGAAACATTCCATAGGTATGATGTACTTCGATGTTTCTCTTTAATTCATATTATTTTCAGTTTGAAAAACAATTGAAAAACTAATATAGCTTCATCATTTCAGTGTTTCGATGAAAAAACAAGACACCAAGAGAAAAGTGATTTTTCAAAAGGATGCGAAAGTTAGTGGCAATAAGACAAGAAGCTAAGTCACTTACTCCTTATCCAGGTCTTTTGCACAGCAAAAAGAGAGTACGTCCTCTTTTTAGCACTTCTCATATTTTAAAAAATTAATTAAAACAATTTCCTGAGCAACAGTTTAAATGGATATCTAAAATGTGCCTTAAAATGGGAGTGGTGGCACACTCCTGTAGTCCAGCACTTGAGAGGCTGATGCAGGAAGATCACTGCAATATCAAGCCCCACTTGGACTATACATTCATTTGTATAGTGCAAGGCCAGCCTGGATTGCATGGTGAAACCCTGTCGCAAACAAAACAAAATGTGTCCTATCTGCTTGTTTAATTTTCTAAGCTATGGCTATATACACACAAATATAATATTTTAATTAAAATATTAAATTATATCCAGTGTGTATAGTCCAAATATGCTTAAAATTAAAGTCATTTGTGGATTATTCAAAGGCACATTTCAATGATAATAAAATTAACCAATTTTTACCGCATTAACCTCATGAGGTGTGTGCACCCTATACACATATTGGGCTTCAAGTTAACACACAATTATGCTTAACATATTTGTTTCAACTTAGTATTTATAATACATCTTTGAGGTGCAAGTTGTGTGTGTAAGTGGAAAATACAAAGAATGAATGAATAAGTCCTTTTGGCTTTCAGGAACTTACAATCTAACAGGAGAGACAAACCAATAGCCATAGCTCAGTGTGAGAAATATTACACATGCTAGAAGACATAGCATAAAAGTACAGAAAGTTAAGCTCTTTGCCTAACTGCTGTTACAGAGATAAGGGAGAAATCGATTCTCTTAGGGGACATACATGTTTCAGAAAGAGTACAAAGGTGAAGTAATATTTGTTCTGGGCCTTGAATAGAAAATTTCTAACCAAATAAAAGAGTAAAACAAGTATAAGGAGAGGAGAAAACAACGTGTAAACAAATAAGCAAAGAAAAAAATATAACATGAAGAAAAATCATCTTACTAGATAGATCATAGGTGTCATATGATTGGTCACAGATAACACAATTAGGTTTGTAGAATTTAGACCAAATAAATGAAGAGCCATCAAAGAAGTAACTTTGGAAGCAGGGCAGAAACCAAGTAATAGGCTGTTATGGATTGAATTATGTCCCCCAAAGAAAAGTTATGTTTAAATTCTAACCCCTAATCCCTCAAACTGTGACTTTAATTGAAAACAATCTTTACAAATGTATAGAGTTAAAATGAGGTTGACTGGGTGGGCCCTAACCCAATGTGACTAATATCCTTATGAGAAGGGGAGAAGTAAGGGCTTGGGGATATTACTCCGGTGCAAAGCGCCTCCCTGGCAAGTGTGAGGTCGGGTGAGTTCAATACCTAGTACCAAAACAGGAAGAAAAAAAAAAAAAAGAAGAAGAGTAAATGTGGATAGACAGAGAGCGGCCTGTGAAAAGAGACATGGTCCTAGAGACCCTGCAGTCAGAGGATTGGAGCCGTATTGTACAAGCCAAGCATCACCAAGACTGCCAGCAAAACACCAGAAGCTAGAGAAGAGCAGGGAACACATCCTTGCCTCTTTGCTCTGAGAAAAATCAACCCTGTTGACAAGTTTTGGACTGAGAGCCTCCAAAAGTAAAACTAAATTTCTGTAATTGTAGGCCACTTTTGTGCCTTTCACAGTTTGCTGTGGCAGCATTAGCAAACTAATACAGAGACTATTGAGCAATGAGGCCTAAAGCGAGAATACAACAAAAACAGCAACAATGGGTTTTTAAGAAAAAGCCATGAATCTGAAAGATTTATAATGCGGTAAAAGAAAGGAGGCTGCTGGCTATGATGGCTTTTGCCCGCAGCCCCAGCTACTCAGCCGACTGAGGTGGGAGGATCACTTGAGCACAGGGCTCTGAAGCCAGCCGGAACAAACGGAGTTTAGGGATGGACTAGAAATGTCAGGAGGAATCTAAGATAAATGAAGCTTTTATTCTATATTAATCAACTAAAGGTGGTATCTAAACCACCTTATTGTAGTTTCCGCCTGAGGCCAACGACCTTATAAAAATCCCCACACCTTTTCTTCTGAGTAGCAATACCTAAGCAAGGTATGCCTCTGACCTCTTATTCAACGCTTTCCTTGGGCTAGCGTCCTCAATCTCTGCTCTTGGCTCTGCTCCTTTCTTCCCCAAATCCGCGCCCATATCTGACAAGCCCGCCCGCATGCCTAGAAGAAAATGACTTTCACTTTTCATTGGCTGACTCTCCCAGAGTTGAGACCTTGACTCATTTTCATTGGTTGCTGCTTCTGTCACGTCCCTTCCCCACACCTCCGTTCCCGCCGGCACCCAGTGAGCTTTAGGATAGAGTGATTTACAGTGGTCGGGGGCGGGAGTTCGCGCTCCGCAAACCCGTTCCCCCTCCCGAGCTTCGCGGGCCCCGCCCCCAACCCGGTCTGGCCCCGCCTCTCCCCTCGAGAGGGCGGGGCCCAGGCGGCGGTCGCAGCCGCAGGAATATGCTGGAAGGCGGCGGGCGGGCGCCCGAGAGGTGCTGAAGGGACAGTTCCCACCGCCAAACTTGCCCGCAGAGGGCGGGTGGGGCCGTCCGGGAGCGCGGGGCACGTGAGCGATGGAGACCATCTGGGTCTACCAGTTCCGCCTCATCGTGATCGGGGACTCCACCGTGGGCAAGTCGTGCCTGCTGCACCGCTTCACCCAGGGCCGCTTCCCCGGGCTGCGCTCCCCCGCCTGCGACCCCACCGTCGGCGTGGACTTCTTCTCCCGCCTGCTGGAGATCGAGCCGGGCAAGAGGATCAAGCTGCAGCTCTGGGACACGGCGGGGCAGGAGCGGTTCAGGTAGGGCCGCCCGCGCCGGGACCACCTTCGCCCCCGCCGCGGCCCGGCCGCCCGCCCGGCCGCAGAGGCTCGGCCCTGCGCTCTCGAAGTGCAAACACTCCATTCTCGCCTCGCCTTTGCCCCTCCTCTTCCAGGGACGACTTCCTCCTCCGCAATTTCTCACTTCTTTCTTTGGCGCCCATTTCCTGCGCCCCCTTTGCGCCTCTCTTTCCCGCCTGAACCAGGCTGGCCCCGCCGTGGCCCTGCGCCCCAGCTCCCCCAGCCCTGCTGCTGTTCCGTCCCCGTCCGCCCGCAGCTGCCTCCCCTCTCGCCAAACTCGGCTTGCCCGGCTGCGCACACCCTGGCCCGACCACCCTTCCTGCAAGCGCCCCCTCACTGCCCTGGCCAGGCGTTTCTCCCTCTGTGCTGCCCGGGAGAACTGCGAAGTGGGTTCCCAGATTCGTCATTGAGCCTTATACCTCGCGGCAGAAAGAGCTCCAGCCCGGCTTACCGCATGAGCTCACTGGGCAGGGTTCAGTGGGCGAGGGATGCGCTAATGGTTTGCACACCTCACAGCGCTGAGTGTGGTCATCAGGAAATACTGGGCCGTGACCCGTGAGGACCGGTCTGACACAGATGCAGCGTCAGGGGCGCCGGACAGCTGAGGTTGTACGCGTGCGAGTGTTGTGTCTTGAAAGGGTTGTCTTTAGAAGTTTGTGGGGGGTGGGGAGACATTTATTCAGATTCGCCGGGAACTTTTCCTTTGTTTCACTTAGGATCATTAATTAACGTTCCATTGTGATAACAGAAAAGAAAATACATTTCTAAATTAAGGACCACGCAAAGGCAACTTGTGTAAATAAAAGTAAACAAAATTGTACGCATGTCCTGGATATTTGAGATTAGACTAGGTTAAAAATCACATTTTCGATTTCTAGGATTGAGGGATACTATTTTAGAGGAAGGTAAGAGAGCTGACTTGTTGTGGTATTTTGTTTCTTAAAGATCACATTATCAGAAGTCATGTAAGCAAGCATTTTACATTTGTCAGCAAATCCTGTGCTTGTGAAACGTAGCGCTCCATGAGGGACTTCCCAAACATGGCTTCTCCTCGCCCCCAGCCAGCATCCATTCTGAATGAGATCAGCCTACATCTGTGAGGGTGTCCAACATTTAAAGTTTTGGCTTTCATTCCCAGCTGTGACACTGATTCATGGCGATAATAAGGGAACTGCTTAGCTTGCTTATGCATTAGCTTTCCTCCAAGTGGAAAGATGATAAAGCTGTAGCCTGTAGCAAGGTGTTAAAAGTTACTGATTTAATTTGTACAATAGCACTTTCAATTCCGTGAAGAAACTGTTTTCCTTTTTCAAGAAGCGTTCTTTAACTGCAATAGTTTTTCAGAGTTTTTATTCCTCATCTGTAGAATGAGGACATCCTGTGATCTCTAAGATTCCTTCCAGTTTTATGACTCCAAGGTTGATTGCAGATTCTTTCACTTGTGATCTCAAAGATGAACTTTGAGATATTTCAGAGTTAGAAGAAGCATTTACTAATAGTTGTTGCTGTAACCCTTAAAGTGAATCGTACAGTAAAAAACATTCTTTATGCCCTAAACTTGCACCAAAGTGCTGGAGTTACAACCACAAGAAACATAGATAATAAAAAACTTATGTTTATTAGTTACTTACCAGTAACTGCTCAATTTATTGGCAAAAAAGGATAATTTGTTGCTTTAAGACTTTTCTGCTAAATAGGTGATTGTTTTAATGCCTTTGAGACAAATGTAAATAGTAATGTATTTTATATACATTATTCAGATCACACAGTAACTCTACCATAAGAATGAAAGGGCATTTAGGGAATGTTTACTGACAATGAGTCATACATTATTTTATTTGGCTCTTTATCAAAGATATATTCAAAAATACTTACATATTTCAATAGCTACATCTAAATACTTGCTTTTCTACCATTTAGCAAAATGTTTCACTGTAAAATTGCACTTAAAATGATTACTAGGGGCTGGGGATTTAGCTCAGCAGCATAAGCGTTGGCCTTGTAAGCTCAGGGTTGTGAGTTCGATTTCCGGTACTGATAAAAAAAAAAGATTACTGTTAAATCATTCTATATCTTCCTTCTAGAAAATGTAGTACTTATTTTGAATAATAAATATATTTGCATGTTGTATAGAAATGTACTTGGAAATGTATTCCTGTCATTACTCATAATCATACCATAAGGAATTTGTGAAAAAATTTATGTATTTGGAGGTTTACTGATTATTAAACCAAAATTCTAACAAAAGAAATCTACCTTATACACCTCATGGGGTAGCTTGAAATCATATACAAATATATTAGCTACAGAACAATAAAATAGCTTGCTGATATTATGATTAACCATAATTTTTAATATTTAGATTAAGATTCTAGTAAATGATAACTATTTGCATAAAATAAGAAGAAACAAAATCAAAATGAGAAAAGTTCAGATACAGAATATGTAAACATTCTGTGACACACATGAGCATATTGTGTTAAGTGTAATATAATCTTCAAATACTAAGTTTTTTATTATTAGCCAAAGTTTCAGTAAGGAAAAATGTTATAATTTTCTATTAATGACACTCAGAACTACAGTGCCATCATTACAGCTGGAAGTTTATTTCTCTTCTGTATAATAGTCTCAAGGAGGAAAGTTCTGCTCCAGACCGTCTCAGGTACCCTCCAGCCCCAGGACATTTTCATCATCCGCGTGTACAAACACTGAATTGGTGTAGTTGTGTCAGCTCAGTGGAAGACGAAGAAAAATCTAAACCAAGCAATGTTCCTTTTTTTCTTTTCTTTTCTTTTTTTTTGAGACAGAACTTCACCATGTAGTTCAGGCTGACCTTCAACTCACTATTTAACCTAGGGGCCTTGAACTCAGCAATCTTCTTCCCTCAGCCTCCCAAGTGCTGGATTACAGGGGTGTACCACCACACCTAGCGTAATATTCCTTTAAAGCAAATGAAGCCAATCTAATAGATATTGCTTATGCTGACACTTACTGGGAAGAGTTTAGTTACAATTATAAAGACACACAGACCAGGCATCTATTTGCCCAGAGTTAGGGAAGATAAAGGGCATTATGGATATTGGGAGGAAATCAACATTTACCACTTTTGTAATCATCATCAGTAAAAGAAATAATGTTTAATACAGTAGTAATAATGAGGCATGGTGGCACATGCCTATAATCCCAGCGTTTGGCAGGTTGAGGCAGAAAGATTGATTTATGTTTGAGTTCAAGGCCAGCGTGGCTTACAAAGTGAGTTCATGGCCAGACTTAACTGAATAATAAAACTTTATCTCAAAAAGACTAAAAAATTTAACAGAACTGGTTGCAATCTGACTGTTTGAGTCCCCACTTTATATGTTCCATTTTAGTATCTTGAATAACTATTTGTAAGACAATCTGTAATCATCAGCTAGTGATTTCTGTTTATTTTTTCTTTGAAATTATGTATTATTTCTACCCGTTTTCTGTTTTGTTCAGTCTTTCTTTAAATTAAATTTTTTTAAAAAGACACTACAGTACCCAGTGCTGACGCAGAGTATCATGATGTGAAATCCAGCAGTACTATTATGCTTTGTTCAGAATGATTTTAACTTGCTTTAGTTTGTTTAAACATAAACGAAGATATGGATGACTGCATGTATGTTTAAGTGTACAGGATTGACAACCACGTTACTAAGTTTTTGTTGGACAGCTGAACAGAACTGTTTGCAGTCTCGCTGTTGGAATTCCCACTTTACATGTTCCATTTTTGTACCTTGAACAACGATTTGTAAAATGACAATATGTAAACATCAACTAGTGATTTCTTACTGTTTATTTTTTTCTCTGAACGTATGTATTATTTCTACCTATTTTCTGTTTTGTTTAGTCTTTCTTTAAATAAAATTTTTTAAAGACTAAAAAAAAGAAAGAAATATATTGGAAGGGTTAGAATTAGGAAAAGCATTAAAGTACTGTGGTTTGGGTATAGTTTGTGCCCTAAGGGTTCATATATTAGAAGCTTGGTCCCCAGTGTGGTAGTATTTAGAGATCATAGGATCTTAAGTTCGGAGCTGGGACCAAGACTGAAGCGACTAGCTCCCTGGGAGTGTCACCCTCGGGGTAGATTAAACAGTTCCGGTGAGACCCCAGTTAGTTCTGCCAGAGTGGTTGTGGTAGGAGAGTGAGCCTGGCTCCTCCCTGCTTTCTGACGTCCTGTCTTGCCTTGTGATGTCTTCCTCTCACTCAGCTCCCACCGGATCCCACCTCCGCAGGGCCCCTCCCCAGAGCCAAAGGCACAGTGTTCAGACTTCAGGCCTTCAAAACTGAACTAAGTCTTCTTTATACAGTGTCCATCCTCAGATATTTTGTTACAGTAAAATGAACCAATACATAAAGTAAGATAAGGAAGGAGCAATGTTTATTGTAGGAACTGAAAACCTCTAGGTTTTAAGACAGATCTGCCCCCCCACACACCTTTTTTCACATTTTCTTTTTTTTTTTTTTTTTTTTTTTTTTGATTTTTTTTTTTTAATTTTATTTAAGGAGAAAAGAAAAAAAAGCAGGGAAAGGGTACAAGTTATACAGATTTACAGAAAAAAAAATGAACAGTAGGAAATCACTAGTTAATGGATTACATATTGTCATCTTAGAAATAATTGTTCAAGTCACAAAATTAAAGCTTGTAAAGTGGACATTCCATCAATGATACTGCAAACAGTTCTGTTCATTGATCCAATAAAACTCTGTGATATCATTTTCTATCTTATACACTTAAATATACATGCAGTTATATAGTTTGGAGCACTTTCTTTTCCTCTCTTTTGTACCATGACTATTACACATTTTGGGTTTCATTGCTCCCACGGTTCTTATTACTTTTTTGGAAGAGAGTAAAACCAAATGTGACATAACAGAACAGAATCGGTCAAGTCAAAAGGGTGGACATTATAGATAATGTAAAAACATAATACAAGGTG